CACAGTACAAGCTCAAGTCAACAGTGGGGATGTTGAATTGTGGTTGGAAAACTTCATACAGCAGCTCTCAGGTCAGTTGATCTTCTCTGAAAAAGACCTCAGTGGAATAAACTATAAGGATGTCAAGAACTTATACCTAGTGGAAGATGTGATCAGACAACAACTTACTCATGTTATATATGGAATCAGCAGTGAATTCAACACGGAGACGTTCCCGTCTAATCTGGACTACGCTTTCAGGCCAGATGAGCTTCTGATTGATCACTTCTGCCAATGTTGTTGGGTTCAGTGTCCGTTCTGCGGAGTATTCTGCACAAACACCATACACAACCATGCTGGAGATCACAGCGCAGAGTTCCACAGAGTGAGAGGAATTAATGGAGCAAACTACTATTTGACACAGAATCTCTGTGCTGATATTTGCACCAACTTGGTGGCAAGTGATCAGTGTTTTTATATACCAGACGAATGGTTTAAATACCGAGAATATAGACAAGCAGGGGGAGTTTATGCAGACTGGAGCGTCACTTCGGATCTCTCTGAACTGCCCCACTGGAAGTGGTTTGTGTGCAAATTCAAGAAACAACTGGAAAAATACTACAGTAAGACTTTTGAGGAGAGTGGCAAGATTCCAGACGAATGGAGAAAATACTCAAAGCAAGAAGCTCTATTGAGTTTAAACGAATGCTTCTAAAGAAGTGTCCACTAGTATAAACAAGTAAATAAAATAAAATGGGTAACACTTTACAATAACAGTACATGAATAATGATGTATTAATATGTAAACTAAACATTACTTTATTATGAATTAATGATGAGTTAAGGTATGCACTAATTATGAATTAACTTTAACTACAACATGATTCACATGAGTTCATGTGTGAATAATGGCTGTGTGACAGTCTTGCTTGGGCTGTCTTCTTACTGTACACTGTACAATGGAGACAGACAGCGCGTGTAAATAGTTGCTGGTTCAAAGAAAATGACCACCTCCACAGCAATGCTTCGTTAACTCTGCTCTGTTTTATTTAAAACAGTTTTATAAATATTTTTTATATGCCAATGAATTCTTTTTAACTTTGTGATCGTATAGTGTAAATTTTAACAGTCAGAATATGAAAAACATAACACACTTTGAATTTTACATGACAAATTAATGAATCACAATTCTTAATGTACAATCACTGAGTGTAACAGAGCAATACAATTCAACTCCAAAAGTAATGAAACTTCCCCATCTAGTGGAGACTTTTAGTAACTCGTTTTGAGTAAGAAGAAAAATAATTACAATTAATTTATAACATTTAACAAATATCTGTACAATGGAGACAGACAGCGCGTGTAAATAGTTGCTGGTTCAAAGAAAATGACCACCTCTATATGAAACACAAGACAAATTGATTTCAATCAGGCCTCGTTATATAACCACGTTATAAACTCAAAATTGAGCAGCACACTCGACGCCAAACACAACTCAACAGTGTCCCAACATATTCATTGAAACATTAAGTCACATTAAAGCTAATATTTATGTGTTTTAAACACTTATTAATGGTCATTTTCCACCCGGGAGAAACGTGCAACTTACCCACAGCAATGCTTCGTTAACTCTGCTGTGGGCGGTCTCTACTCCACGCACTTATTACATCACGCACACTCTAGAGGGCGCTGTCCCCATTTAGGTATTATTTAACACACTTATTTACTCCGTTACAGCTGCCTTAATTACTTGTTAGTTCATGATTGTTTGTTAATTAATGTAATAATTACCACATTAGTTTATGCTTAATTTAACCATGATGAACTCATGATATGTTAATGTATAATTATGTTGTGACTTTACTTGGAGGGGCACATCATCATTAACCCATTCTTAACTACTCATGAAGTCCTTATGCACGTCCAACTAGTGAGTTTACACTGAATAACAATAGTAAAGTGTTCTGTCAACATCAACATGAAGAGGAGTTCATAAGTAGTTAAGGATGAGTTAATAGTGATGTGCCCCTCCAAGTAAAGTCATGACATATGTGATAGACTGTAAATGTAACTGTAAAATATAAAAGTTTAAGCAAAAATAGTGCACCCCAAATTATTTTTTTAAAATCTTTCTTTTAGTTTAATATTTAAAAAGACCTCAATAATACTTGTGTTCTGTTACATAAACTGAAGTGTGTTCGGCAAGATGCCTGTAGAGGGCGCATTACACTAGCGCAATGAGGAAGTTATGTTCTGGTCAAAGGGCAAAGCTATTAAAGAAAGCGCCAGAACGCAGCAGATCCTAATCTGTGTGTCTTGCATCTTTCTTACAGGTATGTAAAATCGGTTTTATAACCCAATACTCATTTATATTGAAATCTAAGAGGTTCATAAACATCATACATGATGGTTGTGCAGTTAAGGTGATTGTTAAGTTCTAAAAATGAGTACTTTATGTGCAATTCAGTTTATGTAATTACAAGTTGAATAATAGAGTTTACAATGCATCATACTTTAGAAACATAATGTGTTAAAGATGTTAAATAACTTTAACTGTATTTTCTGTATAATCTGGATAGATTTGTCAGGTTAAACTGGATATTGTGCTATACTGATGTTACTCACTGCAGTTAAAGGGTAAAAGAGAAAACACAAAATGGTGGTAGTCTAAAAGGGTTAAACACATTATAGATATATAAACGAAGACTGTTGATTTTGATAAATTGTATATTTAATCAAATTTATAATGTTGTTGTACTCTAGTGATGCTGATTTTTCTTTGTACAACACCTCACCATGTCTAAAATATATGTGTATCATTAAGATAAATTATTGTGTGAAATGAAGGCATATGGTGGTGGTAAGACACAAAAGGTGTTGAATTGTATACAGATGTTTATTGCTGCTTTAAAATGTATAAAGAGAAAATGTTAAGGTATTACGTTTATTGACTTCATGGATGAATAATTGTAATACTGTTATGTGAAATGTCCAGAAAGAATAACCTGTGAAGGAATACTGTTAATAGTTATTGACAAAACGTTTTGCACTTGCTGTTTATTTTGAAAAAAAGGAAAAAGCTATTAAAGAAAGCGCCAGAACGCAGCAGATCCTAATCTGTGTGTCTTGCATCTTTCTTACTGTTACTGGCTCTCATACTTCACTGTCTGAGGCTGTAACACATAACTATACATTAACAGCTCATGAGTTCATGTTGGTTACATTTAGCCTAAACTTAAATGTTAATTAATACATTAATTAACAACATGTACTAACAAGTAATTAAGGTAGTCGTTATTTACACATGAACTCATGTGACTCATGTTGTACTTAAAGTTAATTCATGATTAGTGCATACCTTAACTCATCATTAATTCATAATAAAGTAATGTTTAGTTTACATATGAATACATCATTATTCATGTACTGTTATTGTAAAGTGTTACCATAAAATGCTATGTAGCCGCACTGGTCTGAATAAAATGATAGCCAGGCTTCATACTGATGTCTTTACTGTTTATTTGTTTCTCTCTTTCTCTCTCTTTGCAGTAGACACCGCGAAAACTACAAGAAATAGAACATATAACATTTCTCAGTGCACTTCTCAGTGTCCTTTTCACAGTCTCTCACTTAAATGTGCGCTGATTGCATATGAACATGTGTGACAACTATGAATCCAGTGACATCAGTCTTTACACGCAACATCATTCATGTAAATTCACAATGCTATACACAAAATGTAACAGAATTAAATATAAATTACCGTCTGCGCCCTCTTAGACCATGCAGATTAATGAACTCTGGCTGTTTCTCAATATGCGTTCTTCAGCGGTCTTGCGTCCTCGTGAAACGTCATCATCAGCTGCCTAAGTTCAGTTCCAATACTCAAGACCGCAAGTACGGAGGACGCGTGAAACTTCCCGGATGTGTTCTTGATATCGAGGAAGCACCGATGCAGACTTGAGCACCGAATTCGCTTTGGAAGTCCCAGAAGTCATTGCGACTGGAGGTGGGAAGCGCAGCATTTTATCTAGATTTATTATTAAAGTTCATAGATATAAATTATTTACCTCAGGAGTTTCCCTAAATGAAACGGTGAAAGTAAACATCACCATGGACATCTTAATAAAGGAATAAACACATTAAGAGTTGTTTGTTTGCTGAAATTCGTATTAAAATCTGTTTTATTTATATTGTGCAACATATATTTATAATGTTTTTATGCAAAGTATATATTTTAAAAAGGGGAAAAACAATAAATGGTTGTATGAAGGCTGTAATGTTTAAATAATTTACCATTTAAAACACGTGAAGGTCATGTGACCATCAGGAAGAACGCAGCATCTCAATTCTCAAAGGACGTGTTCTCTGCCCTCGCGGTCTCCTGAGTTCGTTCTTCCGAGGACACCTGGGAAGACCGCTCTCCACAAGAACACAAGTCCGTTCTCTGCGTTCTTGGAATTGAGAAACAGCCTCTCTCTCTGGCTCTGTACCGTTGGCTTCTCTCTGCCACCGTGTCAGTTTCACCCATAATGCAATGGTCCCGCACTTCACGTAACTCAAAACATGGGATCTGTAGTCTCCAATAGCATCTCTTTCCTTTACAAACAACTAACCTCTAACTATTACAAGGGTGCACATTCTCTGCTTTGCATTGTATTACATATTATGATTTTAAAATATAAATTAACATACACATTATACCAAATTAATTGAGTTTATAACAAAAACACAAATATACACAGCTTTTGAGAAGTATGTGTCCTTGACATTTACATGCTATGTTAACCCTCAGGGGTCGGAGGGGATTTTGGGGTCCCTAAGATGTGTTGACATGCCCTGACATTTAATCTTGTTGATTCCATAAGAAAAGATACACCCTCCTAAATCAATTGCTAGAAATTGATATGTGTGATTTGATTGCACAAGGCTTGCAAAAGAAGGCGTGGAGAAGGTGAAAGAAGAAAAACTGGATCTTTCTTTTGATCACAATTGTTTAGAAGTGTTAAGATGCTTTGCATAGTTTTGTAACGCAGAGCATAGGTGAAAAACAGGCTGTGTGTTTGGTAAGTGAATCACTGGATATGGGGAGCGCGGGGCCTTCTGTACCTTGAGGGGACCAATGCACCTTGTATAGTCCACATATAGGGCGGATCGGTACTGCTGTTATTTTTACAAAAAAACATGCTTGACTGCTTTTCTTTCCTGTGTTAACTGCAAAAGCCCTAAAAAGCCAAACCTGTAACCAAAGCTGTACAGACACTGGCCAGGGTTGCTGAATAGCTGACTACACTGAATTGAAAGGTGAGAACAAATTATTTTAATGTTAATTGCACAGTTTTGGATTCTGAAGATGTACATCTATTTATTTAGATTGTCCTCTGTGTTTAGGCTGAAAGTTGAGTTTTGATTTCTAAGCATCTCAGTTTTTACTTCAACACAAGTTGTAGCAGTTTTGATAAATTTGTCATGTTCACCAGTGATCCTTCCTGACAGATCGCTGGTGAACTACAAAGGTCATGTTTAGGAACTACAAGTCCTATCAGGCCATGCCAAACACCAGCTGCTCATCAAGGCTGATGAGACACAGCTGAGACTTGTGATGATTGATCATTTAGACTGTTTATACACCACACATACACCAGTTTAGTAAGGAGTCTTTGATTTTGATGTACGTACCTTGCATGTCCTAGCTTCTTGTTGTTTTGCCTGTTTCTAGTGGTGGGCAAAGCGAGGCTTCGTGAAACACTGAAACTATCGAAGCAAATGTTTCGAAGCTTCGAAACGTTTCGAAACACCACTCTACGATGACACCTAGTGGTCATTTTATTTATATTTCACTGAAACAGCATCAGCTAAGAACTGTTGAGCAAATTGAGGTATGAAACCCCACTTTGTAGCCTTGATTCAACGAATGGTTTAGTCGAGCGGTTAGAGTTCGTGACCATCATGCAGCAACAATGGGTTCTGATCGAGATTGATGCAGTAATTTTGAAAAGCTTTAATACCAGTTGGTAATGCTTTGGTTTTGTATCGTTTTGTTTCAACATTGCTCTGACATACGAATAAACACTTGTAAATAAATTTGTATTGTTTTGTTCATAAACAGGGTTGTTACTAGATCAGATACAGTTGTGGCCAGAAGTTAACAATAATTATTTATATTATTAATTAAATTTCCCATTGTATTTTATTAACGTCTATCCAAAACCTAAACCCATCACAGTACTGTAAAAATATGAATTATTGTTTTACAGTGTTACAAAAATGATGCTAAATTGATGGCATATCCGCAGCTGTATCCTATCTACACCATAAAACAGTAACATGATTAAAATACATAAAATCATGATTTTGGAGTATTTGGACTAGTCGGGATTCGAACACAAAATAAATTTGAAGCACAGTACCAATGTGCACACGCACAGTCCACAAGGCCATATGATACAGCGTCGAAAATTGAAGATCCCAGCCAAATGCAGATTCTCCGGGTCTTGAAACGCCTCTGAAATGGTCCAGGCTTTGAATCGCTTTAGTCACGTGACCAAGTGTTTCGAAACACTTTAGTCACGTGACCTGGGTGTTTCGGATCATGCTTCAGTACAGTGTTTCGAAACACTTGCGCTTCGGGATCTCGACACTGTGTCAACGTCAGTTTCACGTCAGCCATCCCTACCTGTTTCTTGACTTTACCCTTTTTTATTGTTTGATTCCTGTCTGCCATCTCTTTTTGACCTTATGCCAGTTTTTTGACTACGTTTTTGGATTGTCCTTTTTGTATCAGCCACTTCTGTTTGTCCCTGTTTTGCTTAAATAAAATCTTATTTTATCTGCACTTGGATCCTCGTCTCTGTTGTTCCTTGCTTTGATCTCCTCACGTGACAAAATTTAGTTCATTGTTAATGCGTTACAGTGATCTTTCCATTACAAGGACTGAACTTTTTTTACTTTATTTACTGATACAACTTCATAGAACCAATTGTCCAACTAAAGCAAATACTGATCACCACAACAGTGACTTCAAATGACGTTCTAATAAAAGAATAATTAAACATGTTTGTCTTGTATTTCTGGGAGTCTGTATGTTGCTGTTTCTATTTTTTTCATCATTGTGAAGTTGACTGTTCTTCTTTCACCAAGTTTGTGAGTTGAATGTACTGTTCAGGGGTGTGTTTACTAAAAACTTTGTCAGCCAACTAAGGTCGCAGGTTCCGTCTTTACAAACATAGTTTGTTGACTCGGCGTTTCCCAAATCCATCGTTCCAATAAACATTCGCAAACTTGTATGCTTGCAACTACACCTCTAGAGCTGTAGTTAGAAACATTGTTCCTGGCTGTGTTCTATTCCTTGGTATCCCCCCTATGCTCTATTCATTTAGAACATTCTAACATTTAAACTTGGAATTATTTAAAAAAAGCATTAAAGTCATCTCTCTTGGATGTAATTTGTTTTCAAAGAATTTTACAGTTCAGTTTTAGCGATCTTCATGTTTCAAATTGCGCTCCCTTTGCAGTGCACTTTGAAAACATTGATGTCATTTTGAACACAGCCGTGGCTAATGATGAAAGCTATAGGTGACCCATTATTTAAAATGTTACGTCTCCAAAGCTTGGGAAAACAAAAAAACATAACATATGTTAATGCTTTTCATTTATAGTTGGTATTTATTAACAAATGTCTCTGTATATGACATGGGCCTGCTGGTTAGAACATTTCTGTAGTGGTTTGCATGTTTCAAATTGTAAAAGTAAACTTTTATAAAAAAATAAATAAACCATTTCCTGCTCAATATTTACTTTTATCATCATCATCATCATCAATAATATTAATGTAGGATTTTCTATAATTTCCTAATAAATATTAAATTTAATTTCTTAAAAAATAGCCTCATTGTTTATTTATTTATATAATCTATATATGATATTAGAATAAGTGTTAGCTTTTCTAAGGGATTTTATGTTTTAGAGTAGAAAATGTAATGTTCTCAATAATATTAGTAAAGGAAACACAGGCCCTATATGTGCCATTTACATATACTTTAGTTAATATGGAAAGCGAGGGCATGTTTTAAGCAAAACTAAAACTGTTTTCTTTTCTTTTTTTAAATGTGTGCATGTAAAACAATATAATTTGCACAAAAAATATGAGGTTCTTCCCTAAAGTAGTAGTTACTTCACCCTGTTTAGAGCATCATTATGGGCGTTTTACGTTATAATTAACGTGGTCCAAGCGATGAATCTGCGACAGAGAAACTACGAGTTTTGGGAAACACTGGTCACTACATTGTTCTTTTTCCAATCGATGCATTGTACGATGATAGTTCAGCCGCGAGTTACGTTAGTTTTTGGAAAACGCACCCCAGATCCAACACTTCTATCTAGTTCAGTCGCTGCACGTTGTATGTTTGCTGTCTTATACACTCCTGAACAAAATCCAGACTGGGGAAAAATATTAGTAATCATAAGTAAGTATTCACAATTTCCATTGGTGGATCATGAACAGGCTGTAAATTGTGCTTCAAAATACCAAAAGGAAGAGAAATAAAGTATAACTATTGATAGCTAAATTTAAACTGAAATACATGCTGTTCATTAGCTGATTAAACATTTGGGGATCATCAGCCATCTTATTGCACAAGGTTGAAGGAGACAGTAAGCAGTCTTAGATGGAGACCAAGAAGAAGATGGCCGCAGAGGCCTACGAATGAGCAAGAACAAAGGTGGCTCAGCGGTTAGCAATGTCGCCTCACAGCAAGAAGGTCTCTGGCTTGAGTCCCGGCTGAGCCTGTTTGTATTTTCGTGTGGAGTTTGCATGTTCTCCCCATGCTGGCGTGGGTTTCCTCCGGGTGCTCCGGTTTCCCCTACAGTCCAAAAACATGTAGTGTAGGTAAATTGGGTAAACAAAATTGGCCATAGTTTATGAGTGTGTGTTTGAATGTAAGGGTGTATGGGTGTTTCCCAGTAATGGGCTGAGGCTAGAAGGGAAATTCAACATATGCCCGCAATAGTTGGAGGTTCATTCCATTGCTGGCGACCCCTAATAAATAAGAGACTAAGCTGAAGGAAAGTGAATCAAATATAGCAGAAAATTGACAAAAAGGTAAAACTTTTAGGCTTTACAACGCTGTTAATGATCTCAAATAAGAGGTTAGAGATTTAGATGTTTAGAAATCTAAAAGCTCTGGGGCTGTTTTTCTGTTCAAAGATATGCTCTGTGAGGCTCCAGAGGCTCAAGATGAGTTATTATGCAAGAGTCATTTGTGAGTATGCTTTCAAGAAAAAAGGAAGTTCAGGCTCTGTTGTGTGTTTATGCCTTTAAAAAAACAGGAAGATCTTAGCTATGCAAGTCTGCTTATGTGTGTGTTTGAAATAAGTAACCAAGGCTTTAAGCAAGACAGTATCTGTATAAAAGTAGGACTTCTCTGTTAGTTAGTTAGTTGTCGTACTTCATGGTGAAGACTACTCGCTGTCATGTCGCCTTTTATCATTTTTTTTGCCGGAAATTTGTTCATTAAACCAAAGTGCTTGTATATGATGATCTGTTAATCTTTCAAATGAGTCTCAAAGTAATTTTACCTACAATAATATTTATGATTTGAGCTGGAGTATTTATTCTCATTGAGCCACGGGAAGCCATACTGGCCTGAAGCTGGAGCAGACGCCACAAGATTTCTGGAAAAAAAAGTACACACTAAAAGGAAGGTGAGAGCACATGGTTATAATGTACGGTGTTGTGTTGTAATATGGGAATTGTAGGGTTGAGCACTCGCATTATTTTATGCAGCATAAAAGAATAACATCCAACAAAAAAGCAGAACTAAAAGTGTTACAAAACTGTCTGAATCTGAGTGTTACAAAACTGAAAATATTCCAGCATAGTGTGGAAGCAAATGAGTAGCATAACTCATTCTGAAATTCATTCATTCATTTGGCTTAGTCCCTTTATTAATCCGGGGTCGCCACAGCGGAATGAACCGCCAACTTATCCAGCAAATTTTTTACGCATCGGATGCCCTTCCAGCCGCAGCCCATCTATGGGAAATATCCACACACACACATTCACACACACACTCACTCATACACTACGGACAATTTAGCCTACCCAATTCACCTGTACCGCATGTCTTTGGACTGGGGGAAACCGGAGCACCCGGAGGAAACCCACGCGAACGCAGGGAGAACATGCAAACTCCACACAGAAACGCCAACTGAGCCAAGGTTCGAACCAGCGACCTTTTTGCTGTGAGGCGACAGCACTACCTACTGCGCCACTGCCTCGCCTCATTTTGAAATGTAATATGCAAAATGGCAATGCAATATGTTAAATGTATTTCTGTATTTCAATTAGCATTTGCCAGGACATATGTGCAATGTTTGGTGCAGAATAAAACTGTAAATTAAAAAGTAATTTACAGTTGAAGAAGATAATAGCTGTAAAGCAGATGATGGATATAAAGATGAAAGTTGATGTTTGTTTGATGCTTGTATTAAGTTGCTGAAGCACAGTCAAAGGCAGAGCTATCTTCCAGATGACTATAAATGTGGACTGAAGACTGCTTTTTTATGGTAACTTAAAAATTATATGATTGGGACCAAGCGGCAACCTCCCGCTCTCTCTCAGGAAGCCAATACGGAAGTAACTAAAACTGCAATTCATCCGAAATTCTGCTAGTCCTGGCCGCTCCTGGCTCCAAAACAGAGCAAATTTCAATTGAGCCCACTGTTAGAATGGCCAACTTTACCGCAGAAAAAAAGGTGTTTACAGCCTGGTACAAAAAAAGATTTTGGTTAATACAGCTAATATTACCCTTCATGACAACTGTGAGGGGGTGAATTTTTTTATAACTCATCCGTTTCCTTAATATTAAGTTATATTAAGTTTGCATAATTAAGGGAGTGGCCACTTGAGTGACAGCTAGGTCTCGTTGGTGGCCGTCACGTCACCTCAGCTGAATCCTGCAGATTAGCCACTGAACTCGGCATATTTATCGTATTTCTGTGTTGTTTTATGTGGCTTTACACAGTCAACCGCCTTTTGGACTTGTTTCCTACAATTATTAGATGGCATGGCATGCTGAGTGCACTTAATTGTGCTCACAAACCATTCACGTGGCCTCCGTTTCCCATGTGAGTAAAGTTATACTTATACACCATCTCTATACATGTATTTGTTTTATTTAAGATCATTTATCGTTTATATTTATATTTAGAGCTGTAATCCACTCCAGAATCTGACGGATTGATTAGCTGTTGGCTCTAGAACAGTCATCTGAAGCGTTGTCATACAGTGTTATGCTGGATTTCATCAATAGTCCTGCATTTACTAACACAGACTATATCTGAAGTGTTTGGAAGTAATTCGCGTTTTCCTCCTGTTGAAAAACGTCATAAGAACAATGTTTAGTGGCTCAATGTATTACAGCAGTGTTTTTAAAAGTCTAAACACTTTATTGATATAGTGTACAGCCAAGCACAAGTGGTCAGAATACAAACGAGTCGCAGGTGATAAAGTATTAAGCGTTCTCCCAAAGTAAAGTGTGTCCGAACCAGGTCCAAGCAAAATGCAGCATGTGTCTGTAGCTCCGCCCACTCTCCGCCTCTTTGCCCATGTTTGGTATCCCGCCGTGGGTGTGATGACGCGCGAACAAAATGGCAACGGTTGGCCACGCCTACTTGTGGCTTCTTTTGCGCTCTTTAGAAACCTATGGGTGACGTCACGGATACTACGTCCATATATTTACAGTCTATGATTGGGACATCATAATTAGCTAATGCGAGACCAGCCATGGTAAATCACAAGCATGTGATCTTCTAGAAATTAGTTTATAACTAAACTTCACTTATCAAAATCAATGTTATCAAATTCATATTTCTTACAATCTTTCATTTAAAAATGATTAACAAACACATACGAAATATCATTCTTAGCCTAATGGGTACGGTTGATAATTTGTATACATTTTACGATGGTTTTATTACAGCATGTTGCCTTTATTTACTTCACTCTCCTCTTTCCTTTCACAGAAAATGGATCATCCTTACATCTCTCTTGTTTTGCTCATATTCATGGCCTGTTCATCGAGTGCCGGGAAAACATTCTGGACTCATCAAGGAACTCGTTGTATTGAAGACTGTAAGGCCTACTGGGGTGCATACAAGTGCAAGACTATTGATAAAGATGGACAGTGCCAGACAATGTACTGTTCACCTAAAGAAAACATAGACTACTGGGGCAGGCAGTGCAGTGAAACCAGTAAGTGCTGGAAGCGTGGTAAAAACTATTCCTCCAAAACTGGTTTCTTACATTGGGGATACTGTGGGCTGGTAATGGACGACAACAACCATTATGGATCTTACACAGATGCACAGTGTTATGACAACTGTGAACAAAGAGGTGAATCCTACTATTGGTGCCATACTGAACAGGGTTGGGATTACTGTTCACCTAATGAAAACACGGATTACATGAACAAGCAGTGTAAAGAAGACAGGCCATGCGCAAAACGCAATAGCAAGTACTACTGGTGTGCAGTGGAGGAAACCTGGGGTTACTGTGGCCTCGTGAAGCCAAAGATGTTCTACTACTGGACTTATGAAAATTCTGTTTGCATTGACGTATGCCATTATTATGAGAGAGGAGATTACTACTGGTGCCACACAGACAAAGGCTGGGACTACTGCTCTCCAGAAGTGGATGTAACTTATAAAGGCACACCATGTCGCTCAGATCACTTCTGTGGTTTACATGGCTATAGTTACAACTGGTGCTGGACCTCAGGATCAGGTTATGATTACTGTGGGCCCATTGAATCTGCAGAGTGCTCCTACGTCCCCTCTACACATCTCAGGAGGGGAGCCGATGACAACAACCCCCAGAAAATTGTGATATGCACAAAGGTAGATAAAGGAAACAAGAAGATAACCATCTTTACCGCTAACCCAGATCCTGATGACATTGCTGATGGAAGCAAATTTAAACATGAGGTGGAAAACTTAGTCAGTCAGTGGGACAATGGGTATTTAGTGGACCAGGCACGTTCTAATCTGTTACGCTCTGCTGATGTCCGCATTGATATGCAGGGGCTTATAAACCGTAACAATCTGAGATACTACAATCTGCAGGTCCAGCGAAACGTGCCACGGAGGGCTGGTGAAAGCACCACCGTTTCCCAGATCATCGTACCTCCGGGAGTCCCGGCTCGGTACATTCGAAGAGCCTTTATCGAAAGCTTAAGGATGAGAGCGCAGGTTTTTATTGATGTTTCAACGTCAAATCTGGACCCTCACCATTAATGTTGCCTTCTGGTGGAATGACTCTCTCTGCTTGCTCTTAACCTATCCTGTTTGTTTTGTTTGCTTTTCCATAAAAAGTGTGCAATGTTCAGCTTTAGACTTGTTACTGCACCTATTGTTACTTTAAAATGCTTCTCTTATCCTTATTTGTAAGAGGAAAATGTAAAAAATGCCAATGAGTCGGTCACTACACAGCTGTAACTCCTACTTTTGATTATGTACAGCAGAAATTCAGACAGCATAATCTTCGAGCTTCATTTTAAATGTGCTATTAATAAAACAAGTTTTGCCCAGATTTGTTTTTCTCATTACCTCTTTTAATGGCGTCCCAAATATGTAATTGCTAGAGTATTGCATCTTTAAAATAGCACAATATGATTCAAGTCCCTGGTTACATTTACATTTAGTCATTTAGCAGATGCTTTTATCCAAAGCGACTTACAAAAGAGGACAACGAAGCAATTTACACAACTATAAGAGCACCAATGAATAAGTGCTATAGGCAAGTTTCAGGTCTGTAAAGTCTAAGAAGGAAAGTATTAGTAATTTTTTAGTAATTTAGTAATAATTTTTAGTAATTTTTTAGTAAAATTTTTGTTATTTTTTTTGAGTACAGTTAGTGGTATATCCAGAAAGGCAATTGCAGATTAGGAAGTGAAGTGGAGTTGAGTTTTTAGTCGTTTCTTGAAAACAGCGAGTGATTCTGCCGTTCTGATGCAGTTTGGGAGTTTATTCCACCAACTGGGCAGATTGAACGCGAGCGTTCGCGAAAGTGATTTCTTCCCTCTTTGGGATGGAACCACGAGGCGACGTTCATTCACATAACGCAAGTTTCTGAGGGCACATGGATCTGCAGAAGTGAGAGCAGATAAGAAGGAGCAAAGCCAGAAGTCGCTTTGTAGGCAAACATCAGAGCTTTGAATTTGATGCGAGCAGCAACTGGCAGCCAGTGCAAACGGATGAGCAGCGGAGTGACATGTGCTCTTTTAGGTTCATTAAAGACCACTCGTGCTGCTGCGTTCTGGAGCAGCTGAAGAGGCTTGATAGAGTTAGCTGGAACCCGGCTAGTAAAGAGTAGAGAGGTTAGCACTGTGGCCTCACAGCAAGAAGGCCGCTGGTGCAAGTCCCGACTTTGCCAGTTTGGCATTTCTGTGTGGAGTTTGCATGTTCTCTCTGTTTTGGCGTGGATTTCCCCCACAGTCCAAAGACATGCAGTACAGGTGGATTGGATGAACTAAAGTGGCTGGCGTTCATGAATGTGAGAGTTGTATGGGTGTTTCCCAGTACTGGGTTGCAGCCATGGAAGGCCACCCGCTGCATAAAACATGCAGGAATAGTTGGTGGTTCGTGTGGCAATTCTTGATAAATAAGGGACTAAGACGAAGGAAAATGAATAATTTATGTCCCCCGAAAAGTTTGCTTGTCCATTTCAAGAGTTCACACTTAGCTGATGATTGATAAGCAAGTTTGGCATGCTGTCCCGGGAGAGAACCCTGAGTTCAAAAGGTCCTTGAGCCCTATGCTCCCTCCCGTTTGCAGGGCGAGAGGGTAGCCTTGAGCTCAGGTAGATTTTGACAACTGCCCCCTTGATAAAAGCTAATGACTAAAATTAATCCTATGAAGAGATATGCTGCAGGATGAGAGATTGAGTACTGTAGTGCTAAATTTAGATCAATTCACTTGGGCATGTTTTTAAATTGTGGGAGGAAACCGTAGGACCCGGTGAAAACCCACACGAGCCCTGGAATAACATGAGAACTACGCACAGAAATGACCGCCGGCCTGTTAAAGGACTAGAACCGGTGACGTTCTTGCTGTGAGGCAACAGTGCTAACCACTGGGCCACCGTGCCACCCTATGGAGGGAAAGGTAAAAAGGTAGGGGTGGAAGGGGGGATTCTTCAAATCGAAGATGACTGTAGTGAAAAACCCCTGGCTCTTCATAGTGGGTTAGGAATGGCCTGATTGGCGGATCATACATGCTATTGCAGAACCAGCTGTGTTCAATCATAATCACGTGACCCTCTCGAAATTAGTTTATGAATAAACTTCACGAAAAAATTACAGACAGGCTTCTGTATCTCCACATGTGAAGTTTATTCATAAACTAATTTCGAGAGGATCACGTGCTAATGACTAACACGGCTGGCCCCGAGTCAAGCTAACGTACGAACCACCAATCAGACTACTCCTAACCCAGTATAAATAACCAAACACCTTACCTTTAGTCATCTTCGTCTAGAAGAATCCCCCCTTCCACCCCTTCGCCTCCTTTGTCTACAGGGCAGCACATCGGCCCAGTGGCTAGCACTGCAGCCTCACAGCAAAAAATGCCTCCGGTTTGGGCATCTACCCAAGTGGTTAGCATTTTTGTGTAGAGTTCATGTTCTCCCCGTGCTTGCGTGGGTTTTCCCCGGGTCCTCCAGTTTCCTCCCACACTCCCAAAAACATGAAACCTAAGTAAATTGACTAAACCAAATTAGCACCAAATTCGATTCAATTCTGTCAGCAACGCATCACCTTAGCAACCCTCACACAGCAGGAGGGGGGGTTCTTGAGATCTACCTGAGCTCAAACTTCCCTCTCGCCCTGCAACGGGAGGGAGCCCCAGGCTTGAGGCTCTCATGAGCTTGGGGCTCTCTCCCGGGACAGCATGCCAAACTAGCTTATTACCAATCATCAGCTAAGTGTGAACTCTTGAAATCCACATTTAAAGGTTTTGAAATTTGTTGTTTTGTTAAATGCCTGACATAATTTCATCTGAAACAGAAACAGACTGCAAAGAATGACCCTTGCATTTTATTTTATAATGTTCAGCCTGTTTGCCATGTTGTTGACGCGCATTTTGTTGTGCAAGCGACATTGCCTCTTTCAGATCTCGTCCCAGAGACTGGACATATTTACTCACATCAACAGCACCCCCATCCAAACTATACTCTCAAACAGAGCGTCCACTGGCAACCACGGCGTGCGCCCAAACATCAAAAAGAAAGGCAGGTAGTTGTCTCATACCTAGTGCAATTGTATAAGAAGGTCAGAGAGTTCAGCAATTGCGGCCATCTCGATTTCGACCTTGAGGGTAGAGATCTTATCATCATCCCAAGAGTACGGTTAAACCTTTCAGCCTGACCATAACCCAGGTGAAGATATGGTGTCATGTGAGATTTATCCACACCTGATAGTTTCAGCATTTCTGAAATCAGGGAACTCTCAATATTTGCACCCCTATCAGAGTGGATCCTCTCTGGGAAACCACATACACAAAAAAAAAAATTCCACAAAACACGAGCAACGATCTTGGCAGTTTGATTTGGACAGACGTACGCGCAAGAAAGCTTCGTAAAGTGGTCAGTCACTAACAACACATTGACAGATTTGTTATTGACATTCTCGGCTGACCAGAAATCAATACAAACCAGTTAAAGTGCCGCTGTCGTTGTTATCGATACAAGCAGCGATCTGGCCTTATTTAAAAAATAAAAGCTACTTTTATCTAACTGTACACCTCAAAGATGTTTATTGCCTAAATTCATATTTTTATATGTTAGTTCTACAGCGGTTTATCTGCAGAAGAGTCAATGAAATTGTCAGGGATTATTAGTTAGATTTGTAGAATTGAAAATGATTATGAAGTGAAGTTTCATAAACCAATTTGAGAGGCGCATGTGATATGATTGAGTGCGGCTGGATTCTAATCCATAATCAGTAATAATCCAATCCGATTGATCCAAGCTTACTATAAATAAACCAATTTTACCCGACTGCTTTATCTTCGTTTTACAAGAATCCTGCCTTCCACCCCATCTCATCCGGTGCTTTCCTTTTCTAGTAGTGGGCTAAGGGAGGCTTTATAAAACACTGAAACAGTCGAAGCAAATGTGTCGAAGCTTCAAAATGTTTTGAAATATGTAACTTCAGTGACACCTAGTGGTCATCTTATGTATTGCACTGGGATACCTTAAGCAAAGAACAGTTGAGCAAATTGAGGTATTGAACCCCACTTTGTATAATTTAAGCTTCAAATTATTTAGTGGAGCGGTGAGGATTCCTGACTACCATGCAGAGATACTGGGTTTAAATCCAGGCTGATTCAGCTCATTTGAAATGCCTAATATCAGTATGAAAGGCTTTGTTTTGTTTCAACGTTGGTCTGACATCCGAATAAACACTTTGTGAATAAATTTGTCTTGTTTTGGTCATAAAACAGGGTTGTTGCTAGATCAGACACGGTTGTGGCGGGAATTTAACAAGATTTATTTTTATTATTCATTAAATTTCCCATTTATTGTATTTTATTAACGTCTACCCAAACCCTAAACGCAACCATCACAGTACTTTAAAACATACCTGTCAACCCTCCCGTTTTTCTCGGGATCCTCCAGTATTTTACAGTTCTATCCCGCTAGCTCTATCCCAGAGCATAAGTCTGGGTTTTAGGTGCGTGTTTAAGCAGACATATACACATAATTAATAATATTATTATCTAAAGATGTTGATCTTGGTGAGGTTTTTTTTTTTTTCAAACACAAGTAATTTCATCCTAAATGAGCATAAACAGTTAGGTAAGCAGTCGAATGCCTTCATTTTTTTTGTTTTTGTTTATTAAACTTTTCAGATATAAGTACTGTATTTTTACAGAGAAATTTAAACCGATATAATTCCCACCCCTACCCTCCACATAAGTTGATTTGTACATTTATCATTTGTTGTACATTTATCATTTAAAGAAAGAAGAAAAAAATTACTCATGATAATTACAAAATAATAATCAAATAAATAAATAAAAAAAATTAAGTAAATAAAATGAATAAATTATAAAAAAATTAAAACTAAATAAATAACTCAAAATGATAAAAATGAGTCCTTGGATATTTATAAAGTACCTAATCATGTGACATGCTCAGAAAAAAAGACTTAATGGGTCCCATGTTTCAGAAAAGGCCCTAGTATTGCCATTTATTGTAAACCTAATTTTTTCCAAGTGGATGAAGCTCATTGCATCTCGATCTGTGCATTTTTAAAGTGACACCTTTTATATAATGTAATCAAGCAAAGAAATCTAAATAAATCGTTAATTTGTTGCTCTTTAAGCAGAATGTGTACATTCTACAGTGAAGAAACGGCTAATGAGATTTGATTCCATTTTATTTCATTATAATAGCTATTCATTTTAATAAGCTGAACTGTTTGCTAATTTATTTTCTGCTGATGTATACTATTTATTTTATCTTTTGTAAATATTAATAATAATAATATAGCGCATTACTGACCATTTAACTGTTTATTTACAACAAAA